ACTATCTTTTGTTTCATTCACTTTTTTTAAAAGATCAGAAACGATTTCTGATTGATTCTCCCAATATCCAACAAGTTCTCCGATTGTTACAATGATTGATTTAAGATCTTCCTCCATCCTATTGATGATGACTGTTAATTCATTCTTTTCTTCTTCCAATTTTACTTTGATGTCATTGCTTTTGGCCCGCCTAGTTGGTCGATTTATTCCTTCTTTTATGGCAACAGCTAATCAAATAAATAGACATTTATAAACAAATTTAATGCATAATTTAGATGTATAATTTGCATAAATGAATAAGTAATATTCAGTTAATATTCAGTGGTAGTTCACTCACCAGCACCACCACCTATTGCAGCTGAACCTCCAATAATACCCAAAATAGCCGCTTCTATAGCAATACTAGCACCAGCAGTAAACGGAGCAAGAGCTACAGCAACCGCAGTTAACACAGCACCGAACCCTGCAGCGGCAGATCCAACCGCGAGAGTCGTTGTTGAAGAATTTATTTCTTCATTAACTTTGTCTAATTCATCTTTTGTTTTCGATCTAATGTTGCTCACATCGTTCTGAACATCATTTTTATATTTGTTAAGGTTATTTCTGATCGTTACTAGTTCCTCTAAAACGTTATTAGCTTGATTCCTCAACATTTCAGCAGATTTGAAATTACGTTTAGTATCATCTAATAAAGATTCTAAATTTTTATAATCATCGTCAGAGATAGGCTGGTCAGAGAAACTTTTGATTAATAGTTGTAAGTTCGAAACATATTTGCGTATTTCATGGCTTTGTTGAATAGAATTTTCAATAAATTTGAGAAATTCTTCACGTTGAGTGTTAATTTTTTCAGTTTCTTCTTTAATCGTATAATCATTAGATCTAACTTTTATGCACTGCCAAAAGTTTTCGATACTAGTTTCAAGGTTATTTCTCATGTTTTGCATGTTAAAACCTGAATAAGTCACATCTTTAATCGTAGGATCATCTTCAGTTTCTATATAAACCATTTTATTAGTATCGAAATATATATGTATTTTCAAAATTTAGTTGATTTGATTTATTTTTTTTCTTCAAGAAAATGGAAAACGATAGATGA